TCACTCATCCTTATCGACATCTGTTCATTTTGTTCTCCTAAACTGCCCACTATGTTGTTTAAGGCTTCCTCTAGTGCTGCCCCGTTATCCATGAGTGGCATCACTAGTGGTGGTGTAACTCTGTCGGTTCCAGGTAGCTTCGTGCTGGTCGAGATCCGGGCCTTGACTCTCTGTCTTGACGTCTTTTCATTATCCATTTCAGGATCCGCTAACGCGTTGCCAAGCCCTCTGGTTCTACTCTCTTCAGGTTGTGGCTCCGAACTTGTCCTGATCGCGAAGTCCTTCGACTGGCCCGGTGTGTTTGCCTCTTTGCTTATCGTTGTCACTACACCAAATTTATCCATGGTTCCAGTCTCTCTTCCGACGTGTGCCTCACTCTCCTGGATCGAACTATTGAGACTGACTTGAGATCCAAAGTCCCCTTGCTCCTCTTCATCCTCTTCCTCCTGGGACTCCCCATCGTTTCCTGCTCCTCCTCCCATGCTGAATGGAAAGATGTTTCCGAAGGTGTTCTTCATTCTTTCTGAGAATGATGATGACGTTGTTTGTTTCCCCGTTCCGCCTGCCATCATAGTGTTGTCTGTCGGAGATCTTCTAGTCGCCGTTACTTCAGTTGAGATGTCGGACAGTTCCGACATCTCCTCTCGATCCAACGTCCCGGTGGAAGTGGCAAAATCATGGCCTTGTTCTACCGGAGTAGATTCACTCGCCAGCCTTCTGCCTCTCCCTTCAAGTCCATTTACTCCCTGGTTGTCGTTCATGGTATGGTCCGTATTGACCTCCACTTCTAACAGTTCTCTTCGCTCTTCTGAGGTCTTTTGACTTCTCGTTTCAACCATTCTGCCTGAAACCGTCCCCTTTTTATCGGACCGGGTTCGCTTGATCCAATCCACAAAAGGATCGGTCATCGTTTTTCTTTGCTTTTCAGGTATGAATTTCCTAGAGCTATTACCTCGTTTTGGTATCCTTGACTTGTCTAAACTCATTCTTTATTTGATTTGTCACTTTCCTATGCCTACTCTTGACTCAATTGTTAGAGACCTTATAGTTTTATTAACAATAATAATGACACAACACAATAAATTTCACCAGATTCTATTAAATAGTGACCACGAATCCCTGTATGTTGTCAGAGTACAGTTTGTATAAAATTTATTCACACTAGCCGATTATCGGTCCAAAGATCTGGAAACTAGCACAATATGATGTTATCAGTCAATTTAAAAGATAGTGTACTCACTACCCAATCAAGCACAGTTTAGGTTGATTTAAAATCAAAAAACAAAAAATATATATTGACACAATATGAATGTATATATAAAAAACGTATGTGTCTTGTACTCTTAGTCGGTTGCAGTACAATAGTCGAACCTGTCTTTTAAAGAAAAAGCTTTCCCTGCTTGGTGCTGCACCAAACAGACAAAACTTTGAAGGCAGTGATTTTCTCAAGTGGGCGTCTATTGCACCCACCGAGTACTGTGTTACCTATCTGCCTTCGGACTGCCCGAGCTAGACCTACTAAAATCCTCAGGGCAGTCACTTTTCCCAAAAACGTATTATGTTTCAATCCACACCAATGAGTCACGCTCTTTTTAATTTAGACTTAGTGTCGCGAATATCCGAGTTCGGACCTGTTTTGTATTAGTCTGGTTCTTTTTGAGAGGCAAGTTACCAGTGCAGTCACTGATACCTATCCTGTGTATTAATAACCTAATACCTCTCGCTTTTTAGTTTTTCTTTCGTTCACCTAAGTCCTTAATAAAATGATACCCCTCCGGATTGGCACAAATAGGACCCTTCCGGACTGTCAGATTATAGACCCCTCCGGATTGGGACCCCTCCGAGTTAGTTAATAGTAGACCCCTCCGGATTTGGACCCCTCCGAATTAGCGACTATAAGACCCTTCCGGATTCGGACCCCTCCGGTTTTGTGGAAAGTAGACCCCTCCGGATTCGGACCCCTCTGACTTCGGAGCCCTTAGCTCTGTCAAAGTAGCTTTTTGTAGTTTTCTTTATTTCAGCTTATACCCCTCCGGATACGTTCTGCGTTGCTCTTATGCTGTTTGAATTAACTGGGAAGGGTATAGGATCCTTTCCTAGACCCCTCCGGATTGAAGTTAAGGCACTTATTTGACAATTCACACTAACGGTGAAGGGTCTTATCACTTGCCTAATTTCGACTCTATTATGGTTGTCTTGTGCCTCCAGCCCTCCCTTTTTGTCTAGAACTGTCTTAAGTTACTTAGTTCAATCGCTATCAACTTTTGGTAGGGGTATAAGGGTTTTTTAGAAAAATTTATAAAACGTGAAGGGTGTACCCCTCCGGATTTGTGTAATTTGCTAAAAACAATCTCAAAAAATTTTCTCGCTCGCTTTTCCGAAAAATTTCTGATCCTATTAGTAAGCTCAGCTAATTTCTGATCTATTGGTACCAAGATCAACTCGATATGATCAGTAGTTCCAAAGTTATTAACCAAAACGTCTTTTTTCCGAACTCAAAAAATTTTCTCTCTTATAGGTTCCGCCTAACTTTTTCCGCAAATCTGGTCCTTTCGACCTAAAATTTATTGATCCGAGCTCAGAAGGCCTATAATCTTCTAGTTCAATGCAAAAGACCCGATCTAAAACGCTATTGTAGAAAAAATTTGCGAAAAACTATGCTACCTGGACCCCTCCGGATTGATGAATCCACCAAATCAAACACGTTATGTTCGATTTCTCTGCAACCCGGAAGGCTTTCGGGTAGCGGATTTTAAGACTTGTAGATTCACTAGTGGACGTTGTCCGAACAACTATTTTTACTGTCCTACCTCAAAAATTTCAAAAATTTTCTAAATTTTTAGTGTTTCTTACTATCAAAAATTGTGAAAATTTGGTTTTTGGTACCAAACTAGTTCCAACCACTTCCGAACTAAAGTTAACCGGTTCTACTTGTTACAGTAGTGCAGTTACGATGTAACACACTAACTTAGCGCTTTTTTCCGTTTCAAAAAATATCGATATCTCAAAAATCGCGACTTGTGGGGGGATCAAAATATCGCAATTTTGATCCTAAAAACCGGTCTGTTTTCGTTGTTTTTCACTGAAAAATGATATAAGACTATTAATATAGGCTATATAAGTAATAATATTAGTAATACTATACCCCTCCGGGTTTGTTTAATCTCCGAATTAAGGTGCTTAACTCGGATATTCGCAGTTCGGTGAAGGGTCACTACAGTGCAGCACTGTCGAGCCCCCCACAGATTACTATCCTACTTTTTGTACCAAAAGGGATACAAAACTTGTTAACGATACCCAACAGTCGATTGTAGTTGTCGTTGAGCCTCTTCCTGTTGTTCCCTGTACTGCTTGCCGGATCGGTCTTCACCCCGGACCCTTCCGAATTGAGCGCAAATCAGCTGACCCTTCCGGATTGGGCGCAATTTATCATTAACGTGCTTAAATGCTCAAATAACCCTACAGTACAAGCCTCACAAACGGGCCACAAAATTGATCGTAACGATCCTGACTGATATAAATGCCTGTAACAACAAAATATCTATCAACAACAAACGGGGGGGTTGAATCACATCTTGTCTGGGGGGATGATTTCTACTGATTTTTTACTTTTTTACTGTTTTTGGTTTTTTCGGTTATTTTTTTATGTTTTTTGTTTTTCTTGGGTACTATACTACTTTTTGTTTGGTTTTACTTATATCTTTAAGTGTTTTTGGTCACCAACCGCTCAGGGGACGAGGGGACGGCCGATCCCCCCACCCTTCCTGGTTTGTGAATTTTCGGTCTTAACTAGGTTAAAAAGCTATTCACGGCAATCCGGAAGGCCTCCGCGTTCCGAACTACCCTTCCGCCCCGGCGGTTTAGGCCTAATAAGGGCGTTAATGTGAGCATCCGCTCGGCGCGGAGTGCTCGTTAACGGTTCTGCCGATCATGATGTTAAAAAAGAATAACACCCAGGAGCGCCATAAAAACATACATGTAACATTCGCCCGGAAGATACATATCGACGGATAACAAAACTAAGTCTTAAGACGACTGGCTAGCGTCTAAACAGAGCTTTGCATGTTTTTCACCGTCTCTACCAAGCCAGTACTTTTCGGTGGTCTTTCTTACATCAGGCTGACAAAAACGTTACTGTTCTCCGGCTTCGACCAGAACGCTCAAATTAACTGAATTACATGCAAAATTAGTGAGCTCATGGCTGGGTCTCTGTATCCCCAGACCACGAGGTCACTCCTAAAAACAGGGCTACTACTTATCATATTACTATTATTTTTGTTCAGTAGATAAAAATCATCATCTCCATCGAAGATGGATCAACCCTTTCCCCCCTACTTCTAGCTCCTCATTCTTGTCAAAACGAATTAAGATCTTAATTAAATTCAAGTCAGGACATGACGGATGCTAAAATTCAATATAAGTTCATAAAAGTCCACGTCCCGAGACCCTTCCGGATTCTTGAATCCGGTGAATCAAGCTTCTTAATATCCAGTTCACAATAACTCGGAAGGCTGGGTTTTACCCTTCACCGTTGCTCGCAACGGCCTTGCAACTATTGTAACAGCACAATAGTTGCAACTCGGAACGTCCTCTGCTGTTCGGTAGTTCGTTGTTGTTTTTTAGTCTCGATTTTCGTACTGTTCGTAATCGCAGATAAAGTTGTTCTGTTTCTTTCTGCTATTTTAGCTAAAATGGCCGTCTCTGACGTTTCTCAGAAATATGACGTCATAATTCGAATTTTTAAAAATTAGAATTCCAGAATCTTCTAGCCTTCACCGTTTGGCTAATCGTTCAAATAACGTCCTTATCCGTTCTAAATCGCCAATTCGGAAGGCTTGCTGCTAAAATACCGAATTCTGCAGAGACTGCATTTTGGCCATTCTGGTCGAATGTCACAACATACTTTAATATAATCAGAGGGCCGAAAGTATGCACCACCAGAAAAATCGGGAAGCAAAAAGGATGCAGAAAGTTATGATAAACTTATTAAATAGTTTCGTTTATCCACTGATACTTAGCCTAATTGTTGTGATAAACTTATTAAATAGTTTCATATACTATGATGACGGGGACACGTGGACGCTTGAAGAGTGCTCAAAATTCACCGTGTACATCCTGCAACGCAGCCGTGAAGAAGCAAGATGAAGGAGTGCAATGCGATAGATGTGGCGAGTGGTGGCATCGGGCGTGTACGGACATCCCGCAGCAGATTTACGACCATCTATCATCGGTTCGTGGGATTATGTGGGCCTGTGCGAACTGCCTTGACGATGCCAAGACAGCAATGAAGACGTCCATTCGAGATAAGTCTGTTGAAACTTCTCTAGAATCTATCAAAACTGAAGTCATCAATCTTAAAGCAGCTATTGTATCCACTGATACTAAGACAACTGTAAATGGCCACACAGCAACGCCTGTTACACCTGATGATCAAAGTAAAATGGGAATAAGAATAAATGGCGTGCCTGAACCTTCCAACCAGAAATTGCATGACAGAATGGATTCAGATATTCAAGCAGTCAGAAAAGTTATGGAGTATTTGGGAGAGCCTGTCAATGAGCCTATAACTGATTCCTTTCGGCTGGGAAAGTATCGATCTGATGCTACCAGGCCGAGAACCTTGCTGGTGAGGTTTAAGAATCCATGGCTGGTTCGTAAGTTGCTGGCTAAATCGTATATCTTGAAAGATTATTCTGATCGCATCTACTTATCCAGTGTAACATTCGCCCAAATATCACACAGCGACGGAGCGTAGAAAAAGTACCTATTAACGACTGGCAGGCGTCAGTTACCTTAATTCTACTCGTTTTTCACCGTCTCGACCTTGCCAGTTGATTTTCTGGTCTGTCTAGGGCAAAGTAAAAAGTTACCATTTTTAGGCCATCAGTCAAACGACTTTTGATCAGCTTTCGTTTACATACGAACACAACCACATAGCTGAGTCTCGGATCCTCAGACTACGTGATTGTCATTAAAAACACGGCTCGAACAACCTATTTTTATATGTTTTTGTGTGACAGTTTTATATTAAATCCATTGGAGATGGATTGACCCTTTCCTTTTTCTATCTACTCATGTCCTGAAATATCAAATAATATCGGTGTTTAATTAAGATCTAGGACATTACAGCAGCTGTTAAAGTTAGTTTATACAGTCCCTTCACATAGACAGTCTCTGGGGGACCAAGCCTCCGCTCCCGTGATTTTCTTGAGATAACACTCTTATCTCCTATATTTCGTGTCCCGGGAGGGTTCCGTGGTATTTTTCTTCCCCCCACTGAAGCCTCCGTCTCCACAAATATCTGTCGCTAAGGTCCTTATTGTGTGTTTTTGCCACGATAAGAGGCTCCGTGTTTTTCTGTCTCTGATACAACTGTTCTTCACAATCTATATCGTGGTTCTGATTTTCATCTTTTTTATTCAAAATGGCCGTCTTTTTTCTATTTCTCAGAAATGTTCTTCTTCCAATCGAAATTTTAAAAATAAAAATTCTAGAACATTCTGACCCTCCGTCGCAACACTTTTTTGTTCATAAGGCCTTTAGTCACTCTTTTTTATGTCGCCGGAAGGTTGTGCTGTGTCATCTGGCAGAATGGCACACAGAGAGCTTACTGTTGACGAAAAGAAATTGGAGTAGCGTATTCTCTCTGAACGTTATAAACTTGTCGAAACCGGTATCTCAAAGGATAAACTGAGAGTTAGAGAATTAAAATTGTACCTGGATGGCAAAGAACATGTGTTTTGACTAGCCAACCGCAAAATTACTCTCTGTTTGCTGAATGCCCGTTCATTGAAAAAACATAATGCCATTTATGAACTACAGTGTGATGCCAGTTATCACGGATTTGATATTATCTGTATAACTGAGTCTTGGTTAACCACGGACATTGATAATTTGTTTATTGCTATTCCTGGGTATAAGATATTTAGGAAAGACCGCAGTTCGTTGAACTCAAACAAAACCACAGGCGGCGGTGTCTGTATTTTTGTTCGTGAAGGTATTGTCAGTGATCGGTGGACTTGTCATCATTCTGATCAGTATGAAATTCTGTGGCTGTCAGCAGAACCCATCGTCAATTATTGTACTCTGTGGGGATTTCAATAACTTGGATACTGATGACCTCGTATTAGATTGCGGTCTTTACGACGTTTGTACGGAACCCACACGCGGGAATAATAGACTTGACAAAATATTGTGTTCGGATGAAATTTATTTCAATGGTATTGAACGATTTACGTCTACTCTGAGAACGGACCATATGGGTTTGGTTGCTTATCATGGTGTTGAACAATCTGAAAAGAAGGTTGTTTACTTTCGTGACCATAGATTTGCCAACAAAAATCATTTGAACTATTTGCTGGATACCCATGATTTAAGTTATTTTCTTAACTACAACGATCCAAATGTGTTGTTAGGGGAACTTGCTAACGAGCTTCTGAATCTGTATAAGGTCGCCTGTCCATTGAAACGTGTTGTTCTTAGCTCAAAGGATTCACCTTTCATGACTCCGGTCATCAAATATCTTTTAAGGAAGAAGCATCGACATACACGTCGAGGTAAACTTGCGGAAGCGAATGCTGTCGGCCTTCAAGTTCGTATGTTAATTACTAAACGTGCCTTTTCTGATTCCAGTGGTCGAAACTGGTGGCAGCGTGTGAATACTTTATTGAATAAGAATACAATAGCCCCAGATCGCACCTGTGCTTTTTCGGCTGAGCAGCTTAACCAGTACTATAATGGCATCTCCACTGCTTCTGGAGGCCCATTCAAGCCTACTCATTTGGAGACTACAAATGACGGTCCGCAGTTTTCGCTTTTGCAAATATTTAATGCCATGAAACGCATTAGGGGCACCGCTACTGGCCCAGACGCTCTGCCGTTTTGGATCTTTAAGGACAATGCTCACAATTTGGCCGAAATCTATTGTCATATGTTCAACTTGTGCTTGGAACAAGGTATTTTCCCGGAGTTTTGGAAGCTTGCAAAAATATCTCCCTTGCAAAAAGTTTCGTCTCCAAAGCAGCCAAAGGATTTGAGGCCTGTCTCTGTTACTTCTGTTATGTCCAGAGTGTTTGAAAGGTTAATTTACCAGAATTATCTGCAAGGCCCTTATAACAGATGGCTTACACGTAACCAGTATGGTTTTCGTAAACATTCTTCTACTTCCTGTATGCTCATTAGGCTGCAACGTCATCTCTGGAATATCTGTGAAAACTATGATTATGTTCGCTTCTTTTCTCTAGATATGTCAAAAGCTTTTGATACTATTTCCCACACGAGTGTGATAGAAAGAGTAATGAATATTTTCCCAATAGTCGATCCTGCGGTTGTCAACGTAATCATTAACTTCTTGCAAAATAGAGCCCATTATACTTCTCTCAATGGCTTGGATTCAACTGTTTTGTATACTAATCAGGGTGTCCCTCAGGGCACTGTCCTTGGTCCGCCTCTTGACAATTGCTCCACCCATGCTATTGATGTTTCAGATATTTCCACCACGTTATCAACTTATGCTGACGATAACAATCCTCTTGTAGCTGGCTGCAATAGCGCTGACAATGCTCGGGAAGTTATTAGTTCGCTCTGTCACCAATTTGACGCAAGAAACTTGTTTCTCAATGTTCAAAAATCTTCAAAGGAAATGCGTATCATTTTCAACCATAGTGGCAGTAATGCCATACATATGGTTGAGGGCATTGAGGTTGTTGATGACCTCAAAGTGCTGGGGTTTACGATTGACTCCAAATTTGGTTTTTCTAAGCATATTGACAAAGCTGTTAAACAATCGAATTCTATACTTTTTTCAATCTGGCGCCTTGGCAAAATCGGTTATTCGAAGGACGAACTTGCTATTTTGTATCGTGCTTTTGTTCTCCCAAAGCTTTACTATGGCATTAATGCTTGGGGTGGTTCAAATGTTAAAGATCTAGAGAAGATAAATTTGTTTCAAAGACGTGCAATAAGGCTCGGCGTTGCTGATACTTATGAACCAATATCTGCAACTATTAGAAGAGCTGACCAAAAACTCTACAATGCAATCCTCCAAACAGGTTCTGATCATCTGTTGTTTGATTTAGTTCCGACACGTTCTACCTACTCAGCAAACAACCTGCGCTGTCGTGATCCACCTATTGCTCGCTGTAAGATGGAGAGGCAAATGAAAATATTTCCTTATCGCCTGCTGCGCAGACTTCATGACATATAGTTTAATTTGTTGTCTTATTATGATTTATAGATGTCATTCTATAACTAATTCAAGTATCTATCTATCTATCTATTACGTAATGGCTGACACTGATATAAATGCAAACGAAAATGTGCAATAAAATAGACAACGTCCGGAAAGTGATGGTGACATCGGCAAATCCAAGCTGGAGTCTGACCGGAATGGTTACTATTCAGTGATGTGGTCGAGACTCGTCTCAAGAAAATGACGAAAGATTATATCATCTATGTGACAAGAGAGCTGGTCTCACAACTACGCGAGGCAAGACAACAACTCTTTGACAAAAACGAGAAAAGTGGTTCTTTGTCTGAAATAAAACGTGATGTTACAGAGCTAAAACAACTAAACCCGGTCAGTAGACAAGTTGAAATCAGGCCGCAAAATTCAGATGTGCATTTAAATCAAATCAAAATTGACGGCGTGAAAAAACTTTTTCCTAAAAAAGATGAGAACAAAAATTTAAAAATTATGGAGCATGAAAAAGAAAAATTTAATGACATTTTTGAACACATAGACGAAAATTTCCAAATAGTAGAATGCAAAGGAATTGTTTCTATAAAGAAAGAAACTGATCGTGCCAGATCAATCCTTGTAACGCTACCGAGTGCAAAAATGTTCGAAAAATATTGGCCAAAGCGCCTTTATTGAGAACCTTCAGAAACAAGGTATACATTTCGAAATGCTTGAGCCCATCAGACAGAAAGATAGAGCAAATTTTGTTAAAGAAGAGGTGTGAATTGATAAGTTCTAAAAACATCGACAGAAAATGCATAAAAATCAAGAATCTCAAATTGTACGTAAACGACGAAGAATACATTTT